CTCCCGCGCGTGCGTGTGGAAGTCGCCAGGCCTCTTCAACTGCACGGTGCCGTCGACGAGCTCGAGCTCCGCGGCACCGATGTGCGTATCATGCATGAGCCAGCTGGCCAGTCGAGCGTCTTGCCACCAGACGGCCCTGGCGACCGAGTTGAGGGTCAACAGTCGCGCGTGCCGCCCACTGTCGTTGTCGACCACCAGCGCCTTGGACTGCAGCTCGTTCCGAGCGAGCTCCGCGGCGAGCGTCATCATGGCCTTGACGTCGCGCCACTGTTCAAAAACAGGCTTGAACTCGATGCGACAACCATCAATGCAGTTGGCGAGGATCCACTTGTACTCAGGGCTCTTGAACATGAAAGCTGGGATTTTCCTCTCGCCCTTGGGCGTGGCCTGCCTGGTCTTCATGCGAAGCTTGAGGATTGCGTGGTCGCTGAGGTTCTGCGCGTCCAGCGTCACGGCGTCGTGCACCAGCTGGAGGTCGCACTCGGTCTCCAGCGCGAAAGACGATGCGAGTGAGACGAAGATCCGATCAATCGTGCGCAGCGTCCCCGAGTCCTTCGCGAAGTGGGTGGGGAGCGGCGAGCACACCTCAAGCATGTTGGGATTGGCAAAAATATCTCTCCAGAGTGGTTCGGTTCGATTGGCCCTGCTGGCGTCAGACCGTTGGGCCTGACACGGCCGAGGGTACAAAAGAGACTCCGCTGGCACATCGGTCATGTTTAAATCGCCAGCTGCAACGAAGGTCCTCTTCATAGGGTCCTCGTGCGCCCAGTGCGCAGCATCCCGCCGCGCTCGCCGAATGCGATCCTTCCCAAGCTCGGTGAGGTCATAATTGTGGATGTTCATGATTTTAATGGCGCATTGCGTTTTGGGGTTGGTGATCGTCGTAACGGCAGCGCGCCCTGGCTCCAACTCGCGGCTCTGGATCTGAGGGAGAGCCGCCGTGCCAGCAGCGGCAATAGTGTGATGGTCGTGCCAAGGGATCAACATGGCGATCCCGCCAGCCCCCGGACGACCGGTCGTAGAGCTATGCATCTTGTAGTGGATGCTGTACTGGAGGTAGTTCTGGAGCGTCTCGGTGAAGCCGTGGACTTCCTGGACCAGCACAACGCTGGCGAAGGTGCTCTACGACCACGTTCACTTTCCGCCGCCTCCTGGCGGCGGCACGGAGGAGCAGGCCGCGAGCGTTCCACGTCAGCACCGAGAGCCCACGGGTAGCGGCCCCGACCTCCCACGGAGCCCACCGGAGGCTAGGAAGAGTCCCATCCAGAGGTGTCGACCTCGCGCCAGAGTGCCTGGAACTGGTTCGTAATGGCCTGCGTGTCGATGCCGAAGCGGGCGGTGGCGGACCCGTCCCAGGCCAGTCGGGAGGCCTCGTCGGGGCCACGCACCTGCACCTCCACGATCGGCACAGAGTCCACGTAGACAAGGCCCTTCGGTTGGCGCGCCCAGCAGTCCTTGCTGGGCACCGCAGCCCTGATGAGGCCCAACAGTTTCTTCGTCTGCACCTCCTTACGGATGTCCTTCGCGCTCTTGTCGGCATTCGTGTACATGGTGACGCGTTGGCCGTTGACCGAGAGCACGTCAAATCGACGCCACTGTCCGCCTGGTAGCTTGAGCGCAGCCTGGAGTGCCCCAGCGCGGGCAACGCCCGCAGCGCCACCAGGGCAGTGGAGGTGGAAACGTTTCGACGGGAGGTCGCCGAGGAGCGTGACCTGGTCCTCGGTGACCTTGGCGGCCTGGAGCCATTGCGAAATGGCGGACTTGACCTCTCCTGGTGCGGCGGGGGCCTGACAGGAGAGGACGAAGAGGGCAGGGTCAGCCGTCCTGTTCCAATCGGCAAGGCGTGCTGGGTCCAGCGGCGCCGCAACCTGCGCCTCCGCCACCGCCAGCGTGGTCTGCAGCTCCTTGACCGCGGCCTGCAGCCCCGCTTGCTCCTTCTCCAGGTTAGCGTTCTTTTCCTTGATCTGAGCAATCTCAGTAGCATGTTCCTCGAGCCTGGCAGCTTGGGGGGCAAGTTTATCTTCGACCATTGCGTCGAGCTCCTCGCGAACCGAGTCCATAGCGGTGGTAAACTGCTCGGCCATGTACTCGCGGATTTTCTCCGAGAGGGCGTCCATGTGCTTTTGAACCACAGCGCCAGCGCTCCCTGAGGACCCTCCCGCGGCGGGGCCAGGGGGCTCCCCGGAGGGCCGGCCACGCTGGGCAGCCATTCCGCTCCAAGGATCCCGCTCGGCCAGAGGATCCTGTTTGGCCTCAGCGCGGGGCCGCCGGCCTCGGGCGCGTTCCCCGCTGCGGCTCTTCTCGTTGGGGTCGCGAGCCGCTTCCTCGTCAGAGACAGCAGCAGAATCAGCACCGCCACGACCGCGGGCGGCCATCGCGCGTGCACTGTGCGTTTCGTTGTATCTAAGGGTTAGGAATTACTGGGTAAAGGTATGTCCGCTGGCGCCTGACGCACCAGAAAGCCTCGAGAGTGAGGATGCCCGCTCGCGCGTGCGCTGGCACGCTTGAGCCAAAATGGCACCGGAAAGAGGAGGAGGAGGAGGAGAAGGAACCCTGGATATCACAACCTCACGTTCCTGGACAGGTTGTGGCACCCAGGCCCGGGTGGGCGGCGAGAAGTGGGCAATTGTCGGGTGTTGCTAGAAGTACCCCTGGCCCAAGGTACCCCCGGGGTTCTCGGGGTGGCCCCGAAGGCATCCCTAGGGCACCACTCGCGAGGCCCAAGGAGGGCCCCAGAATGCCGGTTCAAACAATCATGTAAGCGTTGTTGCACTCTAGGTTTCGACATTTGGCCGAAAAGGTGGGGGAGGGGGCAGGGTTCTGGTTCTGGGCCGCTGCTCCGTCGATCTCCTCGTGCCAGTCGCGCAGAGGAGCCCGGGAGGGCCCTCCCCGGCCGCCAGAGGGGCGGCCGCCAGGAGCAGCCCAGATCTGCTCTGCGGGGAGGGCATGGACGGAGGGGGGGGAGGGGGGGGAGACCGAGGGCCCGCGCCGAACGCTACACGAAAAAATAGGAAAAAAAAAACATGCAAAATCACATAATCACAAAAAACATAATCACAAAAAACACATAATCACATAATGCCGACGCGGCGAAAAAAACACATGATCACAACAAAATGCAAAAACAAAAAACACGAAGGACGCACGAGAGGGATGAATGGATGCAGCGGGCCTCGGAAGGCCGCGTCTCGAAGCTTTTCGAGCGGGGCGCCGCCCACGAGCGTGGCCGACGACGGACCGAGGAGGCAGGGGTGCAGGGGTACCCCTGGGAACGCTGCCCATCCTGGCTACGCGGATTGATTGTGCCGTGCTGTTATGTCGGGCGTGTCCCCCTAATTACAGGGGGACTTTCGACGACAAATGAAAAATACCCCCAAAATAAACAAAAAAATCAAAACAACTCCAAAAATAGTTCACGGACTATTTTTACACAATTGTTTGATTATTTTTGAGGTATTTTTTTCCTCGACAATCCCCCTGTAGGGTGTGCTTGCGACGGTTCTGCTGCTCCGAGCTCCCTTCGGTGTCGGCGGTCCGCAGCGCCTCCATCAGGCCGCTGGGGGTCCGCGAGTGCGGCGGCGACCGGCGGCGCGGCCGCGACGCGCCCGAGGCGCCGGAGACCTGGGAGCTGCACCCCGGGTGGGATGCCATCGCGGCGGCCGCCCGCCTATAGGGGGCACGGCCGCGAGGGCTCCCGGGGCACGGCTGGTGGAGCCGAGGCGGCGGCGGGTCCGAAAGCAGCGTCGTCGCCGTCGCCATCGCCGTCGTTGTCGTCGCTGTCGTCGTCGCCGACGTCCTGAGTCCTCTTCCTCGCCGTCGTCGTCGACGTCGTCGTTGTAGTCGTCGCGGTTGTCGTCGTCGTCGTCGTCGTCGTCGTCGACTTCGTCGTCATCGTCGTCATCGCCGTCGTCGTCATCGTCGTCGTCGACATCGTCGTCGTCGTCATCCTCGCCGTCGTCGTCGTTGACGTGGTCGTCTCGAAGAGACTGAGCCGCTGGAGGGCAGGGTCCTCCTCCTGCTACATTGGGGGCCCGTCCACAAAGAAACCTTCCACAAGAAGCACAACTCTGAGCCACCCAGGACGTCCATGGATTTTTGGTTTGGGGGCGTCACGCTTTCCACTGCAGCACCATCGAAACCCAAGAAACCGAGGGCACCCTGGAGGCGTTTCCCTGTACGTGCTGGCCGTGACGATCGACGAACGAGGAGCGATCAACTGTGCTTGTGACGCCTTCGGCTTCTTCCCTGGCCTCCAGACGCCTAAAAACCTCCGAATCATAAAATCGGAAATCGCGAAATCGGGCAGTCAGCATCGAAACGGAAAATCGGATCGGAACGGAACGCGCGTCAAATCGGGCCGCATCATCACAGAATCGAAACCGAACCGGATCGGTGTCTCCAGGATGCACCACAGCGGCATTGCAAGCACCCGGCCACATCGGATCGTCGGGAGTTACTGGAATCGCATCGGATCGGGCTGGCCGAGACCGATGTCGAATCGGATCGACTCGGTCGAAATTAGGGGAACGAGGAATGACATAAACATGAAAACTCGGAGGTCCGCGCGGATTTCTCGGATCGGCGCTACCCGCCCTGGCGCGCGGAGTGCGCCAGGAGCGGCGCTGGAGGCGCCGCCAGGGGGGTCCAGCGTGGATCCGAGAAATCCGCGCGGATCTCCGAGCTTTCATAGTTATGACATTCTTCGTTCCCCTAGAAACAGATCGAGCCAAGAGGGGGCGCGGCGTCCAGGGGCTCGCCGAGCAGAGCCTCCCGCAGCAGCCGGATCTCGTCAACAAAAAGAAGCTCAAAAGATATTCAAGCATAGTCGAAAACCTATTTGTTTGGGCACAACAATCCGCAGACGATGTATTTTTTGTTTATTATTATTATTCATTATATATGGTTTAAAAACACAAACTATGTTTGCACATTCCCCCTGAGGAGGGACGGGGCCGACTTGACCCTAGAAACGGATCGAGCCAAAGGGAGGGCGCGGCGTCCAGGGGCTCGCCGAGCAGAGCCTCCCGCAGCAGCCGGATCTCGTCCGTCAGCAGCTCCACCTGCTTGCGCAGCAGCTGCGTCTCCGCCCGCAGGCCCTGCGCGCCGCCGCCCCGCGCCGGGGGTGCTGGGCTCCGCCCCTCCTGCCAGCCCTCCTCCTCCTCCTCCTCCCCTCCTCCTCCTCCTCCTCCTCCTCCTCCTCCTCCTCCTCCTCCCTCCTCCTCCTCCTCCTCCTCTCCTCCTCCTCCTCCTCCTCCTCCTCCTCCTCCTCCTCCTCCTCCTCCTCCTCCTCCCTCCTCCTCCTCCTCCTCCTCCTCCCCTCCTCCCTCCTCCTCCTCCTCCTCCTCCCTCCTCCTCCTCCTCCTCCTCCTCCTCCTCCTCCTCCTCCTCCTCCTCCTCCTCCTCCTCCCTCCTCCTCCTCCTCCTCCTCCTCCTCCTCCTCCTCCTCCTCCCCCTCCCCCTCTCCTCCCCCTCCTCCCCCTCCCCCTCCCCCTCCGCCTCCTCCTCCTCCTCCTCCTCCTCCTCCTCCTCCTCCTCCTCCTCTCCTCCTCCTCCTCATCCTCCTCCTCATCCTTTCTTGACGTTGCACGGACTTCATGCGAAAGCGCGCAGCGTTCTTCTTCTTCTTCTTCTTCTTCTTCTTCTTCTTCTTCCCCCTCCTCCTTCTCCTCCTCCTCCTCCTCCTCCCCATGCCGATTGCCTGCCGCAGCCTGTGGTGCCTTCTGGTTCGCTCGTGGGGGTCGCGAAGGGGACGCCTGGAAAAAGAAGACCGCTCTCCACGAGCACAACCTCTGGACTGCACCCGGCCAGGGAGACGGGGCGACACCAGCACAGCCTCCTTGTCATCTTGCGACCACTGCTGCTGCCCCTGCCTGCCCACTTTCCCATTTGCATGCCACCCGGGTGCTCGGGCCTCTTCCGAGCTCATCCCGCTGCCCGTTAGCAATCTACGTGTGATGTCTCTGGGTACGGCTGTGTCGGGGGAGCCTCTCGATATGGCTTTGCAGGGGTGAGCCTTCCCGAGTCTGCCTCGTGACATCGTTGTGGAGGTGATCCTACGCAGTCTGCCTCTTGATGTGGCTGTGTAGGGCTGAGCCTTCCCTGGTCTGCCTCTTAGTATGGCTTGTTGAGGGTGAGCCTTCCCCAATCTGCCCCCTGATATGGCTGCGTCCGGTGAGCTGTCCCCAATCTGCCACCTGATGCGGCTACGTGTGGACGTGTGTCTCATGTGTGTGCCGTGCATGTGTTGCATGCGTCTGGTGTGTATGATGCAGTGAACACGCCGGATGTCTACTAGAGACGTACGGAGTGTCCGTGTTTGTGCGTGTGTTTGTGTGCGCGGCTGTACGTGTGTGACCTGATGTGTGCAGGAACGAAACACAAAAGGAAGGGGGGAGGCGGGTGGGAGAGAACCCCACTGAACATGCGAAGAATTACCAAAAAACCTCCCGTCGCTATTTGTTCACGAGTCGAGAGGGTCTGGGTAAGAAAAGTTCGTGCCGTGAAGACCCCGGCGTTGTCTTCTGACACCGCACGGATCGCCCAACCTTGCACGGGCGGCGGCTTCTCGATCCCAGGATCCTCCCGCATCGGCCGATTCTCGGGAAATTGTTGCGTTCAGCCTTGAATGCAGGCGTTGGGCGTGGCGTAATGGGGGGGTCACAAATGGGGGGTCAGAAAAGGTCCCCTTTCGTGCCCCTTTCGGACCCCTCCGGAGCCCAAGGGGGCTCGTTTAGGTACCGTTTGGGTACCTTTTCGAACCACGCTCGCCACCCCCCCATTTATGACCCCCCCATTACGCGGCGCCCAGAGGCGTCGGGGTCCTTGCCGCGCAGGCTCGACACGAAAAGAGGCCTCCCGGATGGGGTCGGAGTCGGCAGGGCCGGAGAATCGCGCCGCATCGGCGATGCATCGGCGGTGCACCGGCGACCTCGGCGATGTCAGCGTGGAAAAAAGCTGGCTCCACATCGCGCCTCATCGCCGATGCATCGGCGATGCGGCGTGACCTTCCAGACACCATCCAGTTACTCGAACCCCACGCGGGAGGCCTACGGTCGGGAACGTTTGCTGAGCGCGTCACGGCGGCGGCCTCGGCGACACGCCCTGTCTGGCGAAGGGCGAGGCGCGGGGTCGGGACAGGCCCGCAACCCTGACGCTCGAGGTGAACTGGCGTGTCGCGCGGAGGCGCGATGGGCCAGAACTGGCGGAGCGACACGCTGCCGAAAAGTGCCCGGCCGTACTCTTAGCTCGGGTCTTGAACGAAAAAAAGAAAAATCAAACCATGCTCACTCACGTTCCTCCTGTAGAGGGCCATGACCGACTTAGCCGCACTCGAACCACACCTGGGAACCGACGTACAGTCGGGGCGTTGACCGAATGAACCCTAAACAAGGAACGAGGCCCCTCTTTCCCTTGAGCTAAACTTCGACCTCCCATGGAAAGCCGTGGGAAAAGCTGAGGAAAACTGTAAGGCAATCAAGGAACACGGAGCCCCTCCCCAACGAAAAGGGTTCCTTCTTCAGCGCCCCGGCTGCACTCTGCAGACGCACGCGGGCGGCGCGCCTCCTGGTCGCCCCCGGCCGCCACCCGCACGCGCCAGCCCCTGCCGCCGGCGGGCGCGCCCGGCCACCGCGGCCCCCCGGCGGCCCAGTGGCGGGGCAGCGGGGCGACGAGCGCGCCAGCGGTTGCGGAGGGCGGCGCGAAGGCGGGCGCGGGCCTGGCGGGTGATCGCGGCGGCGGTGATGACGGCGGCGATGACGGTGGCATGGCAGGTGGTGGCGATGGTGCGGATGGCGGCCTGGCGGGTGGTGGTGGTGGTGGTGGTGATGGTGGCGATGGTGGTGGTGTGGCAGGTGGTGGTGGTGGTGATGGCGGTGGCCCTGCAGGTGATGGTGATGATGGTGGTGGTGGTGATAGAGGCCTCCCAGTGATGATGGTGGCGGTGATTATAGAGGCCTCCCGGATGGGGTTCGAGCATCTGGGGTCGGAGGATCACGTCGCATCGCAGATGCATCGCCGATGCATCGGCGATGCGTCGGCGATGCGTCGTCGACGTCGGCGGTGTATCGGAAACGTCGACATGGAGATCATCGGGCTTCACATCGAGCCGCATCGCCGATGAGGCGCAATCCTCCGACCCCATCGACTCGATGATGATATGAGATGACGGTGGTGGTGACGGTGTTAGATGAGATTCGGTGGAGATGCTGATGATGCTGATGATCAGGGCCCACTAACGACAACATCAGCTTTCTCAATCCAGGCGTACTCCTCAGTGGTTGGCCTTCGGGGGCAACTGTCGGGCCCCGGGGCCACCAAGCATGGATCTGTGACAACAACTGGCCCGGCGTGGAAGCGAAGCCGCAGATTGAACGAATCGTATCGGCGGATGTCTTTGAGCAGGGACCGACCGTCCCGGCATTCCTATAGTCATACCACGGAATGTTCTTAGAACCCAGAAATGTTTTAAGAACAACAACGATGTTCTTAGAACATAAACCCGATGTGTTCAAACAAGACAGACATGTTCTGAGAACACTTCGTGGAAGCCGCAATAGGTTCTTGGAACATTCTTTGGTGGGGCTACAGGCGAACCAGGACGATTCGCCCCTGCTTGATGTCTGGGGTCAACATCGAATCGGGAAATCGTACCGAATCAGGACGAACGCCGGATCTGGCCGCGTCGGCACGGGGTCGGGCTCGGATCGGATCGGCAAGACAGCCGAGAAAAAATGCCCGGCGACGGCCCCCAAAAAGGGCCCGAGCGCTGCGAAGAGAGCCCCAAGACGACCCTGAATGGGGCACAAGAGGGCCCCAACGCAGCCCAGAGAGAGGCCCTCAGCAGGGCCCTCGAAGGCTCCCCAGGCGACCCAAGGGCGCCCTGAGACACCACGAAAGCAGGACGGCCCCCCAAAGGGCCCCAAGACTGCCCCAGAAGGCGTGAAAGAGAGCCCCACGACGCCCCAAGACGGCCCCAGAGCGCCCCATCCTCTCCTGGGATGCCTCCTCGCCGTTGTCCCAGGGCCCAGGGGAGGAGGAGGAGGAGGAGGAGGCGGAGGAGGAAGAGGAGGAAAACGATCACTGCGCGCTTTAGCATGGTGTCCGTGCAACATCAAAACAGGAGGAGGAGGAGAATAAGAAAGAGAAGGAATAATAATAATACGAATAATGAAATTAATAATAATAAAAATAAAAATAATAATAATAATAATATTAATAATAATAATAGTAATAATAATACTAAAAGTGATAATAGTAATACTACTACTACTACTACTACGACGACGACTACTACTACTACTACTACTACTACTACTAATAATAATAACAATACTAATAATGATGATACTGAGAATATTAAAAATACTACAAATAATAATCATAATATCAATAATAATGATAATAATAAAAATAATAATAATAATAATAATAATAATAATACTAATAACAATAATAATAATAATTCGAAGAAGAAGACGAACGCTACGCGCTTTAGCATGAAGTCCGAGCAACATCAAAAGAGCAGGAGGAGGAGGAGGAGCCCGAGAGCTGCGAAACAAAAAACTCCTGGCCCCTCTTCCCCAGGCACCCCCTCGCCTTCACGCGGCTGCACGCAAAGAGCGTTCCGTGGCAACTCTTGGGAGCCTCCCCTACCCTCTCGTCGGCTCTTGCGAATCAACGCTAATCGACGCTAAATCGACGCGAATCGACGCTAGCCGACGCTGAATCGGCGCTATCTCATCGACTCGTAGACGCTAATCGCACCAATCAACGCTGAAGACGAAATGAGAAGGGCATACTAGGCTCTGGTGATTTGCTGCCGAAGGAGCGGCCCTGCGCAAGAGTGGCATTCTGTGCGCGGATGTTGTAAGGAAAGCCGCTGCTATCGCACCGCATTCGGCGATCGGCGAGCCTGAGCGGGCCCGCCCCAAAGGTCACGCCGGCGAAGGGTCACTCCACGTGTCCTCACCCTCCTCGTCGTCGTCGCACTTTCGGGTCATACACCGGGTCTACGGAGCACGTTCGGGCCGATCCGCGCACTTCTTATAGAGAACGCTCTCGGCAAGGCGCAACTGCTCGAAAACATACCGAAGCCGGAAAACCTGTGGGGCACTACGAGAGCGTTCGGAAACGTGCGCATAGCCGAGCTGTACGTGTATCTTGAGCAGGGACCGACCGTCCATGCACTCCTAGAGGCCTACCACGGGCTTATTTCAGAACGACACAATACGCCCCTAACAAATGCAAACTTCTTCTGACACCGAACCGTTGGGTGAATGCAAACATGTCCAAGTGAGAAAAGTCCGATACCAGATCCTGCTGACCATCGAAAATTCTTGGACCATTATTGGGGTGCGTATACGGTCGGGAACGCTTGATTCGCGCGTCGCGGCGGCGGCTCCAGCGACACGCCATGCCCTACAAGTGGACAGCGTGTCGCTCCACTCCGCGGGGCGGAAGATTCGGAACAACTCGGGACGTCGACGCCGGGCTGCCGGGAAATGGACGCAGTCAGCCCGTATCATAGAAGGACGCACGATCAGGATGCAAGGGCCTTGGACGGCCATATGTCGACACTCTGCGAGCGGGGCGCGGCCAGCGAAAGCGGCCAAGGATGGGCCGAAGGGGAAGGGTGCAAGGGTAACCTTGGAAAGGCACTCTCGTCCCTACTTTGCAGCATCGAGATGTTCAGAACTCGATCCTTGATGACACAGTGGAGACGTGGCCTCACCGAGGCCCCCGTCCTTACACTAGGGATATCCAGTATGGGCGGTTTGGTTCGATACGTCTGCGACAACACACTCCATCCCTAATGTGTTTTCTCGCCCTCCTAACTTAGGTCCCCTCCCAAAGGGTTTGGGGTGCTGCTTTGGTTCGTCGATTCGTCAATCAATGCAGGCTCACTGCAGCGTGTCGCACCGAAGCGTGGCGGGCCAAAGAACCCGTGGCGCGGCGCGCCGTCCGACAAGTTCCCGACCGCCCGTCCAACCACTCCCAAAGGGTTTGGGGTGCTGTTTTGGTTCGTCGATGAGTCAGTCGATGCAGGTCCACTGCAGCGTGTCGCACCGCAGCGTGGCGGCCCACAGAACCCGTGGCGCGGCGCGCCGTCCGACAAGTTCCCGAGCGTGCGCAGACCGCATGCAGGTCGGGCAGGCTCCGCCCCTGCTCGCGCAGCCGCTCGGTGCTGGGGGGGGGAGGGGGAGGATGGAGGATGGAGGATGGAGGATGGAGGATGGAGGATGGAGGATGGAGGATGGAGGATGGAGGATGGAGGAGGAGGAGGAGGAGGAGGAGGAGGAGGGAGGAGGAGGAGGGATGCAGGTGGAGGATGGAGGATGGAGGAGGAGGAGGAGGACGAGGACGAGGAGGAGGAGGAGGAGGATGGAGGAGGAGGACGACGACGAGGAGGAGGAGGAGGACGAGGAGGAGGAGCGGGGAGGCCGCCCCGACGGCCCGCCTGCTCGCCAGCAGGCCCAGCGCCGCGGCCCCCAGGAGCGCCAGCCGAGGCCGCCAGCCGTTCGGCCTGCTCGCGGGGGGGTTGGGGGCCTCCTCGCGAGAGGAAATGATCGCGAGAGGGGGGGGAGAGCGAGAAGGAGAAGGACCTCTCCGGAAAGGTTCGGAAGCCCCCCCTCGCCCCCCGGGCCCTCCTTTTGAGAAGTGCTCTGAGCCTTCCCCGGAGGCGCAGAGCACTTCCCAAGGACAGCGCGCGGGCGTCTGAGAAGTCCCGCCACCTTCTGGGAAGGCCCTCTCTGATGGGCGTGTTTTCCACCACCACCACCACCAGAAGTTGGAGGGGGGGTCCTCCTCCTCCTCCGCCTCCTCCTCCTCCTCCTCCTCCTCTTCCTCTTCCTCTTCCTCTTCCTCTTCCTCCTCCTCCTCCTCCTCCTCCTCCTCCTCCCCGTTCTCCTCCTCCTCCTTCCCCCCTCCAAGTTATGGTGGTGGTGGTGGTGGTGGTGGTGGTGGTGGTGGTGGTGGTGGTGGTGGTGGAAAACAGGCTCGTCATTATCCTTCCCACTTCCCCCCTGGGCGCGCCGCCAGGAAGCGGCGCTGGTAGGCGGGGGCGCTGCCCCGCCTCGGGCCACGAGGCACCTCTGCGGAGCGGCCTTGACCGAGCAGTCCCTCCCAGGGTGGGGCCGAGAAGGAGGAGGAGGAGGAGGAGGAGGAGGAGGAGGAGGAGGAGGAGGAGGAGGAGTAGGAGTAGGAGGAAGGGAGGAGGAGGAAGAGGAGGAGGAGGAGGAGGAGG